TTGTCAGGGGCCTGCCCCTTCCCCCCACTTCATCCAACTACTAGGAGTTTGTAAGACAGAGAAATAGGCAGTCCTATCTCAGCCAGAAATTTCCAAAATTAACTTTGGCCCCAGCTCCTTGGAGAAATGGCTGATTCCAGGGCTGGAGCAGGAAATACTCAAGATGAGCCCAAAGCATCTCGTAGGGCCAGAAAGAATACTAACGTGCCCATGTGTGTGCACACCTATGAGCACACACACGCACACACACACACACACAACCATGGGAGCATGTCTGAGGACACAGGAGCCAATTGAGAGAGCTCCCAATGATCAAGGACAACGTGAACATCAATTACATGGCCACGAGTCCATGCTGCTACAACCGACTATGTAATGCTCCGCCCTCAAGAAAGTGCAGCCTCACTCTCTGGTCCTTATGGATGCACCACACACAGTGACTTCCTTCCAGAGAGGAGCATATGGGAAGGGAAAGAAGAAGTCATTTGACAGTGGGGACACATGACAAACACGATCTCAGCCAGGCAAGGGATGTCAGCCCCAACAGCGGTAAGTCACGCTGACCCTATGTACCACAGATATGGTGAAAATGGCGTTTCACCTCTGCAGTCTTCCTCAGAGAAACCCACAGCCCCAATCTAATTGGGGGAAAACATCAGACATATCCCGGTTGAGAGACGGTCTACAAAACATACAAAACACCTGACTAGTTCTCCTCAAAACAAGCAAGGTCATCAAAACCGATGTCTGAGGAACGACCAGGAGGCTGAGGAGACAGGTGTGGCGACGTGAAGGGGATCCCAGGACCCAGAAGGGACGTGAGGCAAATCGGAGTGAAATATGGCTTCACTTACTCATCACGTACCTGGACCACTAGTTACAACAAGCGTACGGGCTGATGTGCGATGTTAACAGAATGGAAGCTGGGTTTGGGGAATGAGAACTGCCTGTACTATCTTCCCAACTTTTCTCTAAATCTAAAACTATTCTAAAATTAAGTTTATTTTTAGAAATTATCTCTGGCTCCTTCATCTCCCTACCCCACAACCAGGCTGGAGGCTGAAGCGTCCTTCTGTTCCCTCCTCCCCCGTTTTCGGGGCCACGGTCCTTCCTGGGCCTTGTGTTCTCTGATCCATCCTCCACACAGGTGCGGAAGGAAGCTTTTGAACACACAAACCTGAGGATAACACCTCCCCGATCAAAGCCCTTCAACAGTTCCCGCTTACCCCGATCAAGGTTGGTCAACTTTTTCTGTTATCGGTCCAGAGAGGACATATTTTAAGCTCAGCAAGCCCACCCTACTCTGCCATGTGCAATACATAAACAAGTGGCCCATGTTTCAATAAAACTTTATAAACACAGGCAGAGGACTGGATTTGGCCCAAAGGCCATACCTAGCATTATCAACCCCTGGCCTAGAAAGTCAAGTCCAAACTCCTTAGACGGGCATTCAAGGCATGATCCACATGACCCTAAACCTTCTCTCCTCCTTCCTCGGGTTATGTGATCTGCTCCCACGTGGATGCACTCCCCAATTCCCCTCAACCTGCAGGACTCAGGGCCCCTCCTCCTTGAAGAGTCTTCCAATCATCCCGTGTCCAAACAACTTCTCCCTTATCAAAACTCAGGGCATACCTGGACACCTACAACTCACCTGGTACAACACTAGCTAAATCGTTAGAAATCATATATTATTGCTTAATTTTGTATATTTGCGTTAGTTCTGTTCTTTCCAGTCAATTCCAAGCATGTTTAAGTTATTAAGTAACACAAAGTCAGTTAAGACACACTCCATGCCTTCAAAGACCAGCAGACAATAAGTACTTCCTAAAGCTTGTTTGCAGTACTCAGGACATACTAAGAGGTGCACCCTCTACTCAGAAGCGTTCTGTAATCAACAAAGTCTGAGGGATCCTGGGTTCAACGAGGTTAAGCAGCTTTCCTTGCCAGAAGAATTTCCAAGCCTGCACCATACACTGAATCTCCTTAAGAGGGATATTTTACACACTCACTCTCAAATCTGTTTGGCTTGGCTATGGAGTTTTTCCACATTTTTAGCATCTGTGTCCTGCAGAACAATTAGGAGAGTGTTGAAATTAAGTATAGTCCTACAAAGTGGACTGAAAGTTCTAATTCTTTCTATTTGTCACTGTGGTGGGCTGAATAATGCCCCACCAAAAAAGTTACCCAGTTCCTAATCCCTGCAATCTGGGATGCTGCCTTAAATGGCCAAAAAAAAAAAAAGGAAAGGAAAAGAAAAGAAAAAGGACTTTGCAGGTGTGATTAAGTGAAAGATCCTGAGATGGGGAAATTATCAGGATGGACCTTAAATACTATCAAAGGTGTCCTTACAAGAAGGAGGCACAGGGTGTTTATCCTGTGACTCAGCTGTCTCATCTGTAAAATGGGGCTTTGGGAATCAGATGAGGTCATGTAAAAAGCACTTCGTACAGTTCCTAACATATAAACATTTGCTGCATGAAAACCATTAACATATTATTATGTTATAGTATTAGTATATTATTATGTTATAGTATTATTGCTATTCAGAGGCCCCAAAAAATCCACTTTCACCCCAAGCTAAATCTCATATTCTTTTATTCCCAGATTGGCAAACTACACATCTTTACCTAATTTCTGGCTTAGGACATTTGAAATTATCTCAGCAAGGTAAGGCAGGTGGGTGGAAATGTTCATGCAGAGCTTTTGGTTCCTGATTAGCAACATACTTCGTTAGCCATTAGTTGAAAAGAGCCAAAGGGAGGATTGACGTAAGAAGAGAGAAAGATTTTGAAAGAGGATATGGGAAAAGTCATAGCATCCTCGCTATTCTTCTGGATGTCACGATCCAGAATTCTTTTTTTTTTTTCTTAAGATTTTATTTATTTATATGACAGAGAGAGACAGCGAGAACAGGAACACAAGCAGGGGGAGTGGGAGAGGGAGAAGCAGGCTTCCCGCTGAGCAGGGAGCCCGACGCGGGACTCGATCCCAGGACCCTGGGATCATGACCCGAGCCGAAGGCAGACGCTTAACGACTGAGCCACCCAGGCACCCACGATCCAGAATTCTTGAGAAACCTGTGGCTCTGTAAGCTAATGTGGATGTTCTCTAGAATCCTGGTGAAGTAGGATGGGCATTGAAGCACGTATGGAGTTTGTGCAGAAGACAGCAGTAGATACCTCAGGAAAAATGACCAAGACCTTCTCAGGACGCTGGAACTAAGAACCTCCAACAGCGGTGAAAAAAGACACCTTCCCTTGTGGGGGCTGTCCCCGGCAGACGGGGTCCTTACTAACACAGCATAAGAGACAGATGACAGATGGATGGGGATCTCCCTCCCTCAGCAAGAATCACAACAAGAGTTGCCAGGTCACATAAGGCAGAGATGAAAAAAGAGCGACAACACAACCCACAAATTCCCCACCCGGCCCAGCCCTAAATGCCAGCCCCCCCGTCACTCTACCCCACAAGCAGTGGCCACGAAGCTACGGCAAAGGCTGGGAGGCAGCCAGCAGAGATCCGCACCAGGCCTGAAAGGCCCTGAAAGGTCTGAGTCACCCTTGGAGCCACAGAGAATAGCAGGGACCTAGCAAGAAGCACAGAGAGTAGGGGTCTCAGAGCACAGCTCGTGGGAGTTCAGAATCCTACACCGTGACTGCAGCCTCAGCTGTCCGACCCCAGGCAAGTGAGGGGCTGTGGAAGCAGGGGTCACACTAACCAGTTATGGCAGAAACACTACTTACAGGGCTGCAGAAGAAAATCAAGGTAAGTCGCACTTCTGGCCATACTCAAGACAGAGAGAGAGAACAACACCCACCTCGCGGTGACAGATGTGAACACACAATCACACAGCACGCGTGTTAGTAAACACACAAGGCCAAGCTGTCCTGTCTGCCCATCAGGGAAAGACCATTCTGGGACACACCAAAACCTCACGAAAGACTGCAAATTCAGACAAGCAGGCTTAAAATAGTGAAACACTGAATGTTAGGGATTTTTAAGAAGCACCTTCTTTATTTTTAAATTTTAAAATAGAGGTGGTAAACCCAAATGCCCGTGAAGCCAGGCATGGAAGGGAAATGGTTACAGAGGGCGGGTCTGCAAAACCAGCAGGCGCACATCTCACCCGGGAAGGCAGCCCCCTCCCAGGCCCAGCCAGCGGCAGCCCCGGGCAGCGAGGGGTACAGCAGCCAGCTGCCGCGGCCCCTGGGCGGACAGCGAGCTGGTGCCAGGGCCGCCCCCCGCACAGCCCAGTTAGAGAATCACAAAACCACTGAGCGCCTGGCTGCTCTTCTTTCAGGATTATGAAAGTCATATAACCGCATAAAACGTAGTTCTGAGGAATAAAAATGAAGGAGTGAAGTCCTTCCCTTCTACTCCCCTAATTGTTACCAAATTAGATCATTATGTATCCTTTTTCTAGACACACAAAATGTTCTAGGAGTTGCTTTTCTCACTCAACAATATGTCACAGACATCCTTCCACATGAGTACATTCAGATCGATCGCTGGTTTGGGTTTGGGGTTTTTTGGTAGTTTCTGTTTTGTTTTGGTTTTGGGGTTTTGTTTTTTGCCAAACGCAGAGTTAGAATACAAAATTTCAGGGCTGGTAGATGATGGGAGAGCCTCTCAGTCAATCCCTTTCACTCACCAGATGGAGTCCCCAGAGGTCCTAGACACGGCTAGCCACACAGGAAAGAACTCTGCTCCCTGCCCCCCCCACCCCCCGCCACAGGGCCAGGCCAGCAGGTGTCACCAGCATACTGCCATCATCTTTGCTTTCCAGAAGAGCGGAGCCAAAAGGCCAAGCTTCCACTTGGCTGGTGAGAAGGAGATATAATTAGCTTAGAGCAAAGTAATGGACTGTAATCAGTAAAGACCCTCACATCCAGCCATTTTTTTTTTAATTAGCAAATATCTAGAATCATTCTAAATCCATCCAGGTTACTAAATTAGAATTCATTAGCAGTCATATTCCACCTATTTCCAAAACATACTTGAAGTGGAGTTAACTCAGATTTTCATGAAGTTCACCCTCTTCCTGACTCGAGGCGTGAAAGAAACGGCCGGCCAGCACGGGCGAGTCCAGGGCTGGGTCCAGTGGGATAAGGGATGTAGCTGGAGCCTCCGTGTCAGAGACCACCCCTAGGAAAGGACACGTTTATTAAAAGGAAGAACTGCAAACTTCATATTTTAAAATACTAGTTCTCTTAGTGAATCAAGGAACTGAAAAGCTAATTAAGTATTCAGACCTTCAGAAACTCCAGTTTAGCTCCCAGATATAGAAAGATCTCTCCATCTAAAGATATAAACTCCCTGGAGGCCAAAGCCTCCCTGCAGCTAACTTCTGAAACATTTTAGGAAACTTGACCTCAAATTAAAAACAGCATTTCAGCAAGGGCTACTTGGAGGCTTTGAGAAACTGCATTTCAGATAAACACAAACTGCAGAGGTAAGTTATTCTTTTATCCTATTAATATAATTGCTTTATAAAAGAAATGTCTAGGTGTGTTTTTTTTCTGGTATTCCTTATCTCAACTAAATGGGAAGAACCATCTACCTCTTGGCAAGCTAGAACTGGAATATTCCAGATTGCTTCCCTTTTCCCTCCCTTTCTAAAAGGAAGATCCATCAGGAGTCTGTCTACCCTTGCTCCCCTGTCTCAGGTTCTCAGCAAATCTCACAGAGACCGTGGCAATCACCTCTTGACTCATTCTCAGCCACCAATCTTTCCCCTCTCCCACCTGTTCCCCAAAAAACTGCCCGAGTGTTCTCAGTTACTCATCTGACAAATACTTGCAGAGCCCCTGCTAGGTAGGCAACAGGCACCGTCCAGCACTGAGGACCAAGCAGGGTGCACCACCGACTCCCCGCCCTCAGGACCACCCCAGAGTGCTGTGGGAGAAGTGATCTGTGCCACGGGGAGAAAGCAAGCAGGCAGGGGAACAGGGAGTGCTCGGGGCTTGGTTGTTCTATCTAAGCGGTCGGCCAAGGTCTCATTCCCAAGGGGACACGTGAGCATTTTCTCAGGGAGGGAAGGTGACAAACGTGGCGGGCAGAGCGTTCCAGATGGGGAGAACAATGGGTGCTCCCAGGAGCACGTGCCCGTGCATATGAGGACAGCGGGGGGCCAGAGTAGCCCCGCACAGTGCACAGAGGGACACTCTCAGCGGTGCAAGCAGAGAGGACAGACTCCAGGCGCTCGTCAGGAGGGACATGGGGACAGAGGGTGCATGCACTAACTCCTTCCCAGAATCTCTTGGCAAGTTTACAGATCTTCAGTATCCTGAGAAAAATGAGTCAAGAAATAGGGGGAAAGGGTTATAATTCTCCTACTTGCTTAGCAATCAACATAGAATTCACTCAACATCAAGTGCAAAGCCAAGAGTAGGAAATGCTGGTGTGCAGAGGTGAAGTTGTTAAGGTGAAGGCTGCTATTTTCGTGAACTGGACCAGGAGCTCGGAGAAGAGAAGCTGCCCAATCCAATCACCTAGGCTTGCTTGTAGCTGATATTGGGTGCTAAGGGTGTGTGTTCAGAGTCCCGTCTGCTGCCAATGCTGAGTCCCTCTTGCAAATAAAGTTAATATTAAGAAAGTATACATAGCATGCTTGATATAAATCCTGACTCTGTGTAGTGCTGTTAATCTTGCTAGAAGATCCAAATGTTAACATCATGCAAACACTACCAGATAATATTCAGAAGCATTTTCCAGTGTTTGAATATTCCATATAAATAGTTCTCTGTAAACAGTATTAAACTTAGTGCTTCTCATTAAACATGTTTGTAGATATTCATAATAATAAGGTAAAGAATAACAAAAATGTTGGAAGTATTTTAAGATAAAGTAAATCAATTAGCTTTTGTGCTAGATACATTTTAAATGTTGTAAAAATTTTTAATAAAAAGAGGAAATTTTTAAGAGGGAAATGTGCTTTAACAGAAGAAATGCAAAGAAAAGATGTAAATGTCATAGAAATCACACCCTGGTCTAAAATCTGAACCGGGAGGGGGGGGGGGAGGAAAAAAAAAAACAAAAAAACACTTCAACAGCAAAACCAAATGAAGGCAACCAGAAAAATAATTTCACTGTTAAAAAAAGGCAATGAGTTTCTATGAGCTTCGGGAGCCCAAATGTTTTCTAACAAGCAGTAAGCAGGCCTGCCTGTTGCTCTGGAGACGCTATCTTTATCCTCCAAGGCCATTCACTGTACAAACAACAGAAACCAGGGCCTCTGCTCAGCAGAGAAGCCACGGGGACCTGCTTCCCCACCACAGGCCGACTGACACGGGCAGACAGAGGGAGGGTGTGGAAGCTGGTGGCTTTTGAGGTTACAGAAGTCATCAGCATAGCCTTACTAAGCCAGTCCCCTTACCCTTCCTTATACAATGCTCACAGCCACGCTGAGACACAGGTACTATCCTCACCCCCTCCCATCCTCCAAACGAGGAAACTGAGGCACAGAGAAATCACGTACTCGTCACACAGCTACTAAGTGGTGGAGTGAGAGCCCACCGCGGACATTGGGCTCTGGATCCACACTAGCAGCCCCCACTGCCTCTGTGCTTCTTCAACTGGACCCGAAGACTTCAGAGTACAACTGGCGATTTCTACGTGCTCATGGTTCAGTGAACTCCCAATAACGTCATCATCATCGTCGTTACTGTTTATCTGCTTATATGAAGGACACTGTATTAAAAGGCACCATATAAGCTTCCCCCCGATGTGCTAAATCTAATTCCCAGGCTGGAATCTTCCCCATCGAATCCACAAAAAATAACCACGTTATCCCAGGCTGCTGACACTTCATACCTGCACTATCCCAGATGAGCAACATGGAATGAGCCAAACACCATGACGGAAAACAGCATCTGGCGTCTTCTTCCTGTTAACTGGAGAACTGGGCTCTGTCGGTGCTCAAGGACATGAAATTTTAAGGCTTTGGACCTAAGAATATTCCCCACTTCGGTGTTAAGTACATACTGGTATGAAAACCGTCAAGGACTATCCCACACCGGTCTGTTCGGACGACACCCAGAACCGGGAATTCTGAGCGGAAAGAGACCAGGATGCTGAGGGAAAGTGGTGAACACACCGCAGGGGGGACATCACACATCCAAGAGCCATTACTGAAACTCTACGGGTTGGACAAGAAAGACCCCAAATCCTGTTTCATTTGCCATACATGATCTTTTACTTCAACCTGCCTTTGCCTCTTGAAGCAACATCGGTATCCAGACCACCAACCGTACCCCCACACAGCCCACCCCCACTCCCTTGCGGTCACGCATCGTCTGTGCGTGGCGGCATCTGCAATCCCATCCACAGAGGCAGCCACCTGCACTGATACCCAGGCTGCTTCGGGAGGGAAGGAGAAAGGGAGAAAGCAGGGAATTCAGCGCCCCCCCCCCACCCCCCGCCTATCCCTGAATACAGGAGATCTAGGAGACCTGTACTAGAAATAACCCCACCTCACTGGTAAGGATACCGAACCCAAAGAAGGTAAGTAGCCTGTCCAAGGTCGTACAGGACTGAGCGTGAACTGCTGCCCTGTACTCTCAGGCTATGATCATCGGATTTTAGCGGGTCGTCTCGCCAGGCAGAGCCTGCCCGAAGAGCACAGGAAATAGCTCCACCCGCAGGGAAGAACCAGGCTCCTCGTGGAGTGAGCTCTGGGCAGACAGCACAGCCTCGAGCAGGTGTTTACTAGCACGCAGGAGCTAGAATATATACTGTGCATGTCCCATCACTTACAAGTGCCTACCATCAAAATCCATTGTCTCCTGTGTACAACTGTAAGAAATGTCACGTCAACTATGGAAACGGAGAGAAGCTTCTTTTCCTTAAACCTCTTAAAATAAGAAAAGTTGTCGAAGGAAAAGAAAGCAAAGAAAGCGGGGAGAAGAGCCCAAGCAGGAAGGTGGCTTCCTAGTGGGACCTTCGGTCCTTCCTCCGAGCTGTGATGCGCGCCCAGATTCACACGGAGGCAGGTACACATTGTGTGTATGTTATGTTTTGTGTCTTTTCTGACTCTGGCAACACAACTGTCAGGTCCTCACGCCAGGCACCGAGGACAGCAAGGAGGGCAGGTCAGCCCGATCAGCAGAGAGAAGCCCCCTGCGCACGTTCCTGGCAGCCCGGCCCTTCCAGCAAGAGAGCCGACAGCAGGGACCCGAAGAGCAGCATTCCCCTTGACCGAGCACAATCCTATTCCCCTGACACCACGCAGTCCTTTCAGGGCATTTCCGTCCACTCTTCGTGTCTCATTATTCACTTGTTATTCAAGAAGAGTCCCTCAGCACCGAGGCGAAGCAGAGGTTCGTAATTTTAGCGCTTACGTTGGGCAAACATAAAGTTTTAAATCCATAGTCTAAGAACCAGTTAACCGGTACGGTCAACAGGGATAAAATAGAATGAGGAGATAAAAGACCCACTTTCTGAACCTTGGACTAGTTATGCAACCTTGGGCAAATCAGATTTTCTCCAGGTCTGTGTCTTCACTGGGGCTACGGCCTGTGGGTGCATCCTGTGCACTGGGCACCCGTCAAGCATTCTGCACATACCGGCTCCTGATGATCCCACAATGCTGTGCGGTCAGTATCACCACCTGCGCCTCACAGCTGAGAAAACCGAAGCCCAAAGTTAAACATCTGGCCTCAAATGGCAGAGTGAGAATACAACACAGGCCATGTGGGTCCCGCACGCGCTACAGCAGCAGAGGGCCTCTGGGATTCCTTCCGGCTTCACCCTCCACAAGTCCCGGATTCTAGGAATGAGCTGTGCTCCATGGGTCACATTCGTGCCAGGTTTTTGTAGCTGCTCAGTACCCTTCACAAATAACAAAGCCTTAATCTTCGAACACGGGAAGATTTAAAGCAGCCACCAAAAACCCTGACTTTAATAAAAGGTCACCCTGAAGTGAGCTAAAAATGCATTTGGCGTTTCAAATGCTCCTTGACTATCCCACTCTCAGTTGATGTAGGAAGAACTAAGTTATTAGCTAAATTGAAAGGTGGATGGATGCAAGTCCGAGGAAGGTTTTGCTTTTGGAACAACTGAGACTAGAAATATGCCCACAGCCAGTTTCAAGGCTCACTAACAGCTGATGGACCTCTCCCCACCGAGGACCCCAGGAAGTTTACCTT